GCGACTTTTGTAAATGCATTGATAAGTTTTATTGTTGTTGTTCATTATGCTAATACAGTTTAAAGTTGCAAATTATTTCATTTTCGGGTAATATGAGGAATGGATAAAAGTAATATTCTTGTGTGACGTCACAGTAAACTTTTCCCGTATAAATTAGGGCCCGCCCCCTTTTTCTAGCCTTAACAGTGCTGCGTTCTCGGGAAATAACGGGAAATTCCATCGTCAATTCAGTGTATAAGTAATGGATTAACAAGTAGTATGAAAAACGTTAGTCAGCATTTGACTCAATGATAAATTGTATTTGCTGACAAGGTCATTGTATCGACCATAGAACTTACGAATTGATGACTTTAAATTCTTGTTTCATTAACTTGTTTGTCAATGAAAAAGAGGCTGAACATGACTAAATCAACTTATTTTTTATAACTGGGGATTGAATGTGTTTGAAATATGCTGTTTATGACAAAATTTGTGTATTTTAAATGATTTAATCTAAAATTGTTTATTCCGCTTTCCGTTCCGTTTTCCGTTCCGCGTTTTAGCAACACCCGTGCATGCACTAATAGTCATTAATATATTGTTAATCAAAGCTTGATAAAAAGAAATTTTAAGTTTTTAAATGGCAAACTAAATAGTAATGTATAAATTGCACTCATTCTATAAAAAAGATCTCACCAACTTTCAATGGTTCTTCTCTTCACCAAATTTCCAAATGCGGCTCAAGACTACCCAAAACAAGCTTAACTTTTTGTCTGATATTAAGGTTCTAAAGAGGGATATTTTTTTTTAAAAATCCCTTTACATGCATGATTCAGTATAAAACTTGGAATCCCTATGGAGGTACCATTATATCCTTTGGGGCATTGATTTGAACAACTAAAAATCAGCAGTACCCGAGTATGTCTTCATAAAACTTAAAACTTAAAGCTTTACTGGTCCCGTGGTTCTAAAGGAGATTTATAAATATTGCTACTGTATAAACGTGGATTCCCTATTTTGACCGAATCCTGTCCCTAGGGACATGATGTGAACAATTTAGAATCTACATTTCCCTAGAATGCATCCACATCATTTTCAGCTTTTCGGAACAAGTGGTACCTAAGAAGATATATAAATATTCAATAAAAAAAACTTAGCTTCCCTTTTGTACACCCACTCGGATACACTGATTTGAACAATTTAGAATTTACACCACCAAAGGATGGTTTTATGACTTTTATGTCCCGGATACTCTTCCTTAATGTCTTTTTGTATAGTTTAATACAAAACTTACCCTATTATGTCCTACCCCTTCCTCGGGGGATTGATTTGAACGATTAAGATTTACACTACTCTAGGATGCTTTAACATGACTTTAATCTTTTTTCAGCCGAGTGTATTTTTTAAAAAGAAATTTGGAATATTTTTCTTGTTTATTTCGATGTAAAACTCGGATTTCCTATCGCGGTCCCAACTCTAGTTCCGGGGGTCATGAGTTCCTAAATACCCCAACAATCTTACTATGTTCATGTAAAGGTAGTAGAAAATCTTTTAGTAAAAAGAGATAAGTTTGTGCTATGTAGCATGCGTTTATTCTGTCATCAAAAATACCAGCATTACAAATCACTGAATATTTTACCTACTTTGCATGGTTAGTTGGACTTAATATAATTGTGTTTTGAATTGTTAGTGACACGCTTCCGATGAATCGCACTCATAAAAGCATAAGAACTAGACAACAGTACTTACAATGGTTTTTTTGATTAACAGTTTTCACACAAACTGGAACGTTAATATTATCAAAACAAGCTAATTCAGAGAATTCGTGTCCCCCGCTTAGGGAAAAAGTCGGCTCCCCCTGACTGAATTTGTAGAATTAGTAAATGTATACATGTATACCATTGGCGTCGGAAGCAAATTTAAAGTGGGGGGGGCTAATTTTAAAAAAAAAAAATTTTTGTACCTCCAAAAAAACCTTTTACAAAAAAAAAAAAAAAAAAAAAAAAAAAAAAAAAAAAAAAGGAAATATCTATTTCCCAAACACGAAAATCCTATTTCGTGGGGGGGGGGGGGGGGGGGGGGGGGGGGGGCGGCTAGGTTCGAACTCAAGTAACGAAGATTTTCTTCCAAAAACCAACATTTATCCCAATTTTAACCTATACTAAGACGTATCTGTGGAATGTGGGGGGGCCAAACTTACGAAGATATGTTCAATGTCTATACTAAGTATATATTTGGAAAAAAAGTGGGGGGGCTAAGCCCCCCCTAGCCCCCCCGGTTCCGACGCCTATGTATACTGAAGCAAATAAAATACATGTATGTCAAGATGCATATAAAGATTTGATTGCTTATTCTTTATTATGTGTATAGAAGATTTTTTTATATGGAATATTTATCACACTGTAATGATGATTTTATAACCTCATAAATTTTTCCTTTCACATGCTGAATACTATCATTTAGTAAAAAAAAAAAAGGGTATTTAAAAACAAAAGAAGAAAGGATCGACCGAGAATCGATCCCGGGACCTCTCACATTTGAAGCGAGAGACATAACCACTACACCACGGTGGCGCTTTACAACGTGTGAAGTATATGCAGAACCCAAGTCACATACATGTATATATTCATGTTTTCATGTTCGTTATTCTCAAAATTTTTACACAATCCATGGTGTTTGATTTATTTAGCCTTTATTAAACAGTTCTAATAGATGTAATAAGAACATAAAGTCCGCTGAGAACCTGTTTTATACGCAATAACTCTCCTCATGCCCCTGCGCTAAAAATAGCGACAAGTAATACTATAAATACTAATAAAACAAGCTAATTCAGAGAATTCGTGTCCCCCGCTTAGGGAAAAAATCGGATCCCCCTGACTGAATTTGTAGAATTATTAAATGTATACAAGCAAAAAAATACATGTATGTCAATATGCATATAAAGATTTGATTGCTTATTCTTTATTATGTGTTTAGAAGATTCTTTTTATATGGAATATTTATCACACTGTAATGATGATTTTATAACCTCATAATTTTTTCATTTCACATGCTGAATACTATCATTTAGTAAAAAAAAAGGAAAAGTATTTAAAAAAAAAAGAAAGGATCGGCCGAGATTCGATCCCGGGACCTCTTACATTTGAAGCAAGTGACATAACCACTAGACCACCGTATCGTTTTTTAAATGGAGTAAAGTATATGCAGAATAGAAGTCACATACATGTATATACTTAGTATTCATATTTTCATGTTCGGTATTCTCAAAATTTTACACAATCCATGGTGTTTTATTTATTTAGCCTTTATTAAATAGTTCTAATAGATGTAATAAGAACATAAAGTCCGCCGAGAACCTGTTTTATACGCAATAACTCTCCTCATGCCCCTGCGCTAAAAATAGCGACATGTAATACTATAAATACTAATAAAACAAACGGGGCGGGGCACATTGAGAGGGGCGAGAGACGTCCTAGGGAGTTTTGGTATAAAATTACATTGCATAAGCTCAAAATATTCTTGAAATATCGCCCGGAAATGATAGTGTTACACACAGACAGAATGTATAAATTTACGACCTTAAACTTTGACCTTTTGACCTCAAAATCAATAGGGGTCTTCATTAGGCCACAGGGAGTTGTTATGTAAAATTTCATTGCAATAGCTCAAATGGTTCTAGAGATATCTTGTGGAAACGAAAGTGTTTTAACAGACAGAATTTGCTTATTTATGACCTTGACCTTTGACCTTTTGACCTCAAAATCAATAGGGGTCTTCTTTTGGCCATAGGAAATTGCTATGCTAAATTTCATTGCAAAAGCTCAAACGGTTCTCGAGATATCGTGTGGAAACGAAAGCGTTACAGACAGACAGAAAGACGGACGGACGGACAGACGGACGGACGGACGGACAAACCCAAATTAATATCCCCCACTTTTCAAGCGGGGGACAACAAACGGGGCGGGGCACTTTGAGAGGGGCGAGAGACGTCCTAGGGAGTTTTGGTATAAAATTACATTGCATAACCTCAAAATCTTCTTGAAATATCGCCCGGAAATGATAGTGTTACACACAGACAGAATGTATAAATTTACGACCTTGAACTTTTACCTTTTGACCTCAAAGTCAATAGGGGTCTTCATTAGGCCACAGGGGGTTGTTATGTAAAATTTAATTGCAATAGCTCAAATGGTTCCAGAGATATCGTGTGGAAACGAAAGTGTTTTAACAGACAGAATTTGCTTATTTATGACCTTAACGTTTGACCTTTTGACCTCAAAATCAATAGGGGTCTTCTTTAGTGCATAGGGAGTTGTTATGCTAAATTTCATTGCAAAAGCTCAAAGGGTTCTCGAGATATCATGTGGAAACGAAAGCGTTACAGACAGACAGAAAGACGGACGGACGGACGGACGGACAAACCCAAATTAATATCCCCCACTTTTCAAGCGGGGGACAATAAAGCTTAAATAGATGTCAGAAGAGTGACAAGAGTTAAATATCTTTTTTGGGGGAATTGTTGGTTTAAACACATATTTAGTAATAAATCAATTTGAATTACAATATCCATATTAGATTTGAGGGTGGGGAAAGCATATCATTTTTTTTAATTCTCGCAGTCTTACTATCCATTGAATATTTAGTGCAGGCAAAGGTTTTTTAAAAAAAATTGAATAGCTGTTTTATTGATAACTTTAATAATGTCATGAGAGACAGCGATACAAAGATTCCTTGGAACACTAGATTTTAGAGCAGTAAAAATTGAAATATTTATTTTCATAGAAACATCAAGAAAAGAAACATGTCAAATAGTAGAACAAATCTATATTCTGTTATAATACTTCTTATTCAATAATCATATAATCAAGTTTAAGCCAATCAGTGAGCATATAATGATGGAGAAAATATATATTACGTACCTCCAAATCTACTCTATTGATACATTGTTTTGTATGATACACGTATAACTGACGATGAAAATATATGATAAATCTATTATTAATATTTTATATGGAAGACGACTTGTCGTATGATAAGAGATCGGAACAGAGTTCTTCTTTTGCATGTCCTTTTGTATCGGACTGCTGGGCAAGAAATGCAGTTGATAGAGACAACAGTACGTGTATGAGGTCTGAAAGCATCGGTCTTCAGTCAACATATAAAACAGTGTGGTGGTATGTGAATCTGGGAGACGTGTACAGTGTGTACAGCATCAGGATTCTGTTCAAGACCTACCAGAAACAATATGGTTAGTTTTTTTTTCATTTTATTTTAAAGGAACATTGTATTAGAATCCTTTGTCCTTCATGCAAATAGGCTCGGGAAATATACATGTACTTGCTCTTTTTGAAAATTGGAACTTGATGATTCACTCAATTATATAGTACTTTAATTGTATATTGCCGAAGGACATTTCAGGTTGCTCAAGACATGAAAGTTATCTGCAGAAATCACAGCTGCTCTAGTTTAAAGAAAGTAATTTAAGAGTCGGGAGAGGGTTCTATAAATTAATCGTCAGATATAACTTTTTTTTTTTTAGATAACTATATCTTAAACTGTCAACTATCATTTGGTAAAGAAAACTCATACATGTACATTTTAGTTTTTTTAAACTGGATTATTTTTGTGTCTGCATATGTAGCTTTTCCTATGAGAGAGACCGATATATTCTAAAAATGGCCACCCCCTGCCATCTTGATGAAATTAATCAAAAGTTATAGCTTCTTTCATTGTAGAAAATAGGCAAAGAGGGCGTTTTGCGGGTTTTTCTCTTTATCTTTCTAATACTGTCAACAAAGACGAAGGTCACTTGTGTTATAAAGACGGGCCACAGTTACCTCCCCTTGAATTCACAACAACCTGTATTGGTTATGGCACTTATGTTATATTTTACAACGAACGATTGGATGGAACTGTTTATCCCACAGGATATGAGAAGTTGATTATAACGGAATTATGTGAAGTGGTAGTGGAAGGTTGGTTTCTTGCTTTAAAGGTGTTCAAACACAGATTTGAAGATAATATTTTCTCAAATTTTCTATATAATATCATGTCATAGTTTTCTATAGCATTTCACATGGGCATTATAATAAGGAAATTGATTTTATCGGGAAATCATGGAAACAACGGATGTCTGGACATGGTTAAAACATCTTTACACTTTCACAAAACCGTATACAGTGAGGTCCCACGTCGCAGTAAGTGCAGGCACGAAAAAGATCCCTCCCTGCTACATGGTCCTAAGTACAGTGTATAGGATAAAATTTGCAGCTCTCCATCGTCAAGTGGTGGCGTCTCCATATGAGTGAAAAATTCTCGAGACGGACCAGAAACAATATACAATCAATCACTTTCACAAAGTTACAGTGTAACTCTATCCTTAGTACTTAAGAAAATTTGAAATTTTGTTATGTAAATAAATGAGAAAAAATACACTACATTGTCCAGAAAATAAAAAAAAAGTCATGTGAGAAGACAACACCGACAAACAGGTAATATTATTGTCACTCCGTGCTCAGTGAAGTGTCCAGAGTTAAAAACATTGAATACACATGTGAAACGTTAATTTTTTTGAAAATAGGACACGAGCTCTGTTACTGTTAATGTTTACGTTTCAGATCACCAGCTATGTTCAATTTAATTTATTAAACTCAGAACACATCACTGAGCACAAACTGACAATACTAGTGAGTTGGTTTTACTTCTCACATTTTTACTCTGAACTTTCTGGACTATGGTTTGGACATATTTCGTGCGCACAACAAAATTTCTTCTTTTCTAAAGCATTAAGGATAAAGTTTTCTTTATAAAAGTGCAATGATTTATCAATCAAACGCATTCTGAAATTCGAGGTTCTAATGATTTCAAGGTAAAATAAGTAGAGCATAGAACATGATATTCTACCGATAAATTGAGAGAAAAAAATGTCAGATGGGATTTTTTCACCTGTGGGATTTTTTCTCCCACTATTTTTTTTCAAATGGGATAAATCCCACGGATATTGAAAATCAAACTATATCTTCCATTTATTGTGAAACATGGAATAAATCCCTTAAATTAGGACAATGACAAATATCTCATCATAATATATAGAATATATTCCTAATTTAACAATGTATTGGTGAAAATAATTCATTGTCAATATCCGTGGGATTCATCCCATTTGAACAAATTTGTGGGAGAAAAAATCCCACAGGAGAAAATATCCCATCTGACATTTTTTCTCCCATGGGAGAATGGTGGGATAGTTGGTGGGACTGAAAATCCCACCATTCTCCCATGGGATTCTGAGTTTCAGGACTTCATATCTTCAGAAGTGGAGATGTTTGTGAGTTCAAAATGAGACCATGGAATACTGCTAAGAAATCCCACCAAGTGATTTGAAAATTTTTTTGATATCATAACTAGAAATGGTAGTAAAAAGTCTGGACTATGTCGTGTCCAGAGTTAAATGTCGTACTGTTGAACTTAATAGCTTCAAATCTGTATCTAAGCACCTTTTAACTGAATACAATTTTTACAAAAATATTGTTAAAGAAAACAAGGAGCTACAGAGCAAACTTAAATAAAAGAAAGGAAATTTTCATTCTGAGATTTAAGACATGTTATTTTTCTGATATTATATTATCAGTTTATATTTACTGAGTTATCCTTTAGAGATATCATATGTAAGGTGCGGTTCTACTTCTGTTGGGAATAGATTATCGAGTAGGCTGTTGGTTTTCTTTTGACCCTTTTATTACTTTTTTTTTTAGTTTTGGTCCTTAAAATTATTCTCCACCTGAATTTATGTAAAATAATCGTTACAACAGTAAATGAGTTCTTTGATGTAACCTTTATTAAGATACTCAGACTATACACCCGCATTTCTTTTCTAAATAAATAAGAAGTAGATCTTATATATTTTAATAAAGTGTAATGAAGTATAATATATACATGCAGGATTGAAACAAAATAGCAATAGGGTACGTATGAATTATTAAAAATATCGAGTATACACGTTAACCAAAATCTCGCCACCGACATGTTGTGGCGTCTCCATATGAGTTGCAAATTCTTGAGAGAGACATTAATCAACAAACAAGCTGTAAAACTCTCGTGAAACACCCACTTATCAAAATAAATCAAAGCCGAGAACTCTCAGATGATATCGCAATTCTACTTTTTCCTGACACCTTTGTTAACAACTTGCAATTGTGTTTCAATGCATCTGTATTTATCTTACTTTAATTTTTGCTTCGTCTTTCAATATTTGAAAACATCACATTTCCGTTTTTTTTCTTTATATTTACAGTTACAAACGTTTTGTACTACATGCATTAATGATATTTTTAGGTTGTAAACGGGGAACATATGGTAAATTGTGCAACAATAATTGCTCTAAACACTGTGAAGACAATAAATGTGATATAACAAATGGAACATGTCTAGGATGTTTGCCTGGATGGAAAGGACAGTTCTGTCAAACACGTAAGGTCACTTTTACAAGACCAGTAGTTTACTACATTTTTGTGTCCTTTCAAATCCTGAAATGTATATTTATGCATACATTAATAGAGTGTGATAGTGGATCATACGGTAAGAACTGCAACTTTCGGTGTTCAGGACATTGTTTGGATGATCAAACTTGTAACCACCTGACTGGAATCTGTGATAAAGGTTGTGTTCCAGGATGGACTCTGACAATGTGTAATGAATGTGAGTTAATATTATTTAGAATTCTGATTTTTGTTTTAATCATTACATGTAATTTCATTTTTCTTGACTATGAAATACAGCATGCAGTTATGGACGCTATGGCCCTAACTGTGCTTTCAACTGCAGCGGACATTGTTTAAATGGAAACACATGTAACAAGGAAACAGGGCATTGTGACTCAGGTTGTACCCCAGGATACATAGGAATTTTTTGTAATAAAGGTCTATATACTATTTAAAATTGATTCCTCAAAACTTTTCAAACATATAAGTAACAATTTTGAGGATTTCCTTTAAGTGAACTTTTTCTCATTGTTTGTTTTAACAGTGTGTTCCAATGGCTGGTTCGGTGAAGGATGTAGATACCGCTGTAGTGGACACTGTGCCAATTATGAACATTGTAACCACGTAGATGGGATTTGTCCTAATGGCTGTCAAAATGGCTACCTTGGGAATATATGCAACAAATGTAATATGGAATTTTAGTGTATGATTTATCAAATAATTTAAATGCACATTACTTTACAATACTTGTATCTCTTTTCTATAATTACTGATATTTTCAATGAATGTTTCATTATAGCTTGTGTGAAGGGTTTCTTCGGTGCAAACTGCTCTAAAAATTGCTCTCAGAATTGTAAAGAAATATGTAATCATATCGTTGGATCCTGTTTATGTAAAAGTGGTTGGATGGATTCTCCAATCTGCAGTACAGGTAAAGAATTGACTCTTCGTTTATTCCAAAACGGATTACTTGACGTTTTTTTTACTTGAGATTTGGTAAAACGCCAGTAACTTCATATTTACAGAGCACTTTCTTTGAATTACTGCAGATAAAACAAATTTTTGGAAGCTTTATGTTTCTCATAATTTATATGACGTTTAGGAAGCCATGAAATATCTTTAAAAGAAGCTTCGAACAATTAATTGGGAATGAATGAATATTGTTTTTTTAACTCGACATGCAGGTGCTAATATCATTCTACGACATGTTTCAATATGTTCCAAAGAAACATGATTTTACAATTTTAGAATGCCCACCTCATACGTATGGTGAAAATTGCATTCATTCCTGCAGTGCCAACTGTGCTAATGGTACTTGTGATAAGTTCAATGGTAGTTGTACGGAAGGATGTAGAGAATCATATTATGGAGACATTTGTGATCAAAGTAAGGAAATAAAACAATTTTGCGTAAGATTTATAGGAACATGTTTAACTTTATTTTGCTGCATAAATAGAGTATTTTTCAGGCCATATAAATGTATCTTATTTTGATAAATATTTTTTTTATTCAGGTGATGGTTCTTTTCTTCTAAACATGAACAGTAAATCTGCAAAACCACCTATCGTCGGCGGGGTTCTCGGTGCAATTGCCTTTGTAACCATACTTATTGCATTGACTATTTCTTTATTGCGGTAGGATAAGTTTGTATTTTTTGCATCAGTTTTTGATTTTATTCCAAAGACTCGGTATATTTAGTTACATTGATTTTGACTTTGTATTTTTCATGATTTCGTCAATAAATTTTCTTCAACTTCTCAAAAAAACTACATGTTATTTTATCAAATATTTTAGAAAAGGAATCTTCAGATCCTGGATAGAAAGGAGGAGGCACTCACAAATATATATAAACAGCACAGATACATTGAGACAACCAAATGATGAATCCCATACCTATCAAACGTTAAATGACTCAAATAAACCAGAAAACTACATGAACTTTGATTTACATGAACCAGAAGATACAGCTGCTTGTGCTTATCAAGGATTACGCATATCTAAAAATGAAGGAAACTATGTAAATCTTGAACTAGACAAGCTTGAAAAAGAAAGATGTTATTCAGTATTAAAGCACTGAACATATTCAAAAGATACATGTATGTATTGGTAACAGAAAAATGCATAAACTGCACATTTCTTGTAACAAAAGTGGTAAATATTTACTAGACTGTAAGGATTGTCTTACAAAAAAACATGATCACGTAATTTCGGATTTATTCCTTCTTCGCCTTTACTCAATTAAATAGCCAATCAAATCTTAATTGTTAATCTTCAATATTAGGCACCTGTACAGATTTTACTTACATTGTGTTTTGTCTGTCAGGGAATTCTGCATTCAGGACGGGATTCTGCATTCTTACCAAAGTGTGTTCATCCTTCTCTGAGAAGCTGATGATGCTTCAGTTAATGCACTATGCGGCAATGGGTATTTTTATTAAAGACAAATGCCCCATTCGGAAAAAAATCTAGAAAAGGTTCTTTTTCGGTTCTGCCAGTACCCCCGAAAAAATTAATTATTTTATATTTAATCACACTAAATTTAACAATTAAAATTAAGACATGATTCTTTTATTTGAAATACCCCCCACAATCTTCATAAGCAAGTTGATAATTATACGAATATCATTTCAAACATAAATGTTAAATTGATGTTAAAATTCAACGAATCAGTTGTACCGCAGTCATTGCACTATCGTTTACGCTTCATCATCCACCACAATTTATTTTATTTTAAATTCCTTTGGTGCTCTGGAATCTACAATCTCTTACCCCATCTTTCTCTACCGAATAGCGCTTCCGGATTATGTAACAAAATAACATCAAATTACATTTTCGTAAGTTTTGGCTCTTTCAATTCCTTGCCCCCAACACATATTCTTTAAGAGAAACATAACATTTACAGTCTTATATTTTGTTTGTTTTTTCATGAAAGAATGTAAAGGCGCAAGAAAAAGACACCCTTAAGCTAGATATGTTTTTTCCCATACTTGTAAACTACTACGGTATGTTGATAATGTACCTGCCGGTAAATCTTCTTTGCCAGCGTCATTACGAAAGCTGGAATTTTGCCGCTTCCAAATGGGGGCAGAATCCTCGTATTGGTTTTCCACAATGTGCTATACTTAGCAGTTAAACAATACTTTTAGTGCTTACAAACATTGTTTATTTGTGATTGGTTATAAAATAAACAGTTCAATTAAAACATTTTAGTAGACTTTTGGGGTATGTTTTCATTTTGCGCATACTGTATACAGGGTTATTTTCGCCCCGTCTTATTTTCGCCCTTTCACGCTTGGACACAATTTTGCCCCGTTTTAAATTCGCCCAGTCATAGTTTTGTTTAAGAAATTATACTGTATTCTTTGAATTCGCCCAAATGAGGGTAGGGCGATAGAGGCGAAAATAAAGCGGGGCGAAAATTTCCTTGTATACAGTACAGTGTATTAAATTCGTGTAAGACCTATATCGAATTTTAATGGAGAGTGATTGTTTTTGTCACCTATTTTAATGAGATTCAGAAGCATTTTTGTTATTGATAAACTATCAGGTTGGTATTTACACACCCGTCGGTGACGGCGAAAATTCAAGATTCTGTAAGGCACTTGTTCTAACTTTTTTTTGCACGTACAATTAAATTCGTATAAGAGCCTAGAAAACGCCTGATAATTTGGACTAACTGGAGTCTTGCTTCAACAGAAGAATCCACCCATAGATCATAAATGTAGATCAGCCAGGAATTTACAGCACTTACTAGAGCCTTACAACCGTTTTAATTCCTAAACGTTGAATTATGATTTACTTCATTATGATATTAAATCGTAAAATCTATGAAGACTGCGATTTCTGTAAACAGTAACGCTAAAGTATGACATTTTTATTGGCTAATGAGAAGGCAAAGGGATGTAAACACCCTCCACTCTTTTAAAGAGCATTGCATAGGCCATAGGTTTATTATGTGAGTATCGTATAAGAAACCATTAGCTAGTGAAGATAACATTAGCTAGAGAAGATAACAAAGAGATGGACAGCTGTTTAATTTGAAAATTAATTGAATAGGAAAAAATACATGTTGATATTTATCATAAAATTTCATTCTTTATCAATGCATTTATGCTTACATGTAAAAATTATACTGATTCGTGTCTTATCTTTTATATAGATGCTCATTGATGATTGCAAATATTAAATAAGGAAACTTAATCTTCATTTCTTTGTTAAATGATCGATGACTTCGCTCGGTACAATTAAGAAAGGAGAATCCAATTGGGAAAGCTCTTGGGGATATAGTTCCTTATCGGGTCTCTTTACAAATATCCAAATGACAACCGCTGGATACCTTATTGATTTCCTTATTTCATTTTAAGTACATGTAGCATGACATCTAAAAAGAAAAAAAAAACACTGTTCAAACAATGAAACGGAAATGTAACTGTAATGATATGGAACAAAAAAAAACTAAAAGGAATTCCTTTTGAATACTAAACATACTTAACTTGATTACAAGCGTATTTTCACAAAAAAAATATTTTTACAAGCAAAAACAAAAAAAAATCAATACAGGTAAAAATAAAAGCGTTTACTTCAGTAATCGTTTGCAAAAATTAGTACTGACTGCATGAGTTTCTAATTTGTACAAGTACAGTCTGCTGACTTCTCAAGCGTTTACTACATTTCACACTGACATTCACGTACAATTTCTTCTTTAGTTTTTGCCTGAAAGTGTAGCCCTTAGGCGTGTTTAGATTATGGTTACAGAAAGTCAACAGACCTATCATTAACGAAATACATGAAGAACACCCCATTCATGATACTTAATTTTTAGCTTAATTTGAAGTACCCCAATTTGCGGATATTGTTTCGCCATGAAACTTTTACTTTTAATTTTCTTTACTAAATTGTTCTGGAAGTCATTTGGATTTGGTATGTATAAATTCTTTGTTTAAATGATAGTTTCGTCGCATTCATTGTATGCTAGTTTTTTTTATCGGTATATATTCGAATAAAATATAATTATATTATAACGGGAAATTGTGTTTTATAAAAACAAATAGATTTGAATGGTCGATTGATTTATGTTCTACCTACCCGGTAGTTGTCAGACATTAATAGGTTATTTTATGTTTGCTGATATCATACAAATAAAATGTAGAAAAAAAGCGCAGGGATCACATGAAATATATTTTGAGCCTTTTTCTCTCAAATTCTTCAGAAATAAAAAAAAACCAAATGGTAGAAGTTTTCGTTTCTTGTGATTAGTCAGCAACAGAATTACGTTATTAAAATTACTTTGATCCTAAACATCGAATGTTAATATTTCATGGATAATGTAGTACATTATTATGTACATAACTGAAACATTTGGAGACAAGGCCTTTCAACAAACTTTTGGAATTTTTAGACACTACTTCTGCTCCGTTAGAGTTGACCTGTAATTTATTCAGAAACGTAGTCTTAAACACGACATTCAGTTATATCGACGATGTTTCATGAATTTTGCAATTATTATGGACTGATTACAAGGAGACATAACCAATTATCAGGTCCGAGTAGGGTTCTCACCCGAGGGCTCTTGCGCCCGCGGGTGACAGCCCTACTGTCTGATAATTTTCCTCCTTTTATATGTGCATGAAATTTGTTTTAAGTACTTGATGTTTTCTTATGTTGACTCCTTTTATTTTTCTTTGTGTGTTGCTCAAATGTTTTGTCTTTTCTTTCTTTCTTTTTAATGTCTGTTTATCTATGTCTTTGGTTACACTTTTGTGTTTAAATGAATTTCTGTCTTTATGAACTCTAATGTGATAACTGTGCTCCTATGTGTATATATGAACATTTTATTATAAATATGTTTTATGTTTCTAGTCGGTAAAAGAGCTTTATAGCTCATGTTCTTTGTTATGTGTATGTAGTCCGACTTTAAATTAAATTTACTACTACTACAACTACTACTACTACTACTACTACTACTACATAATTGGTGATGTCTCCCGTCTAAACAGTCCATAACTGTTTATAATACGGAAGAATCTAAATTATAAAATAGTGTAGAAAATAGTAATCAATCTCTTGTGTTCTCCTACTCTGCTCTGATTCCATACTTTCAAAATATGCCAACAGACAACTTTGACGTCATCGTTAGTTTTTTGTTTACCGATCCCAAATATTTAGCAAATGTGAATGTATAATTATAAATAAGAATTACCTTGCTTAATTCACTCATTTAAAGGGCGACAACACAGTTGTAACTGTGCATGTTTGCTTAAGCTATTTCATTGTCATCTGAAGAGTGACAACAGTTGTAACCCTGCACGTAAGGGAGACATTATGAATTATCTCACCTCACGTGACATTCTCTAAACCAATCAGATTGACTGTATAATTCTGAAGGAGAATTTTTTTCGGACATTTTGAAAAATTGATATTGTGTAAATGTGCACTTTGTGACCATCTATGGAAGCTTGTTGAGGCCTAGATAGAAAATGAATTAGTTTTATTGTACATTTGCGCTTTAGATTGAAAATGTTTTATTCAGACCTTGCAGATGAAAGTAGGCAAATGTTTTTTTCTAGTGATTACCACTCAGAACATTTTATTTTCTCTACCTCCTAATCTTTTTATATACTGTCGAGCCTTTCGGGGAAAATTCTTACATTTTCTGTAAATTTATAACGGCCGAAAATGTCGGGTCGTAAAACACCAGCATCCTAAGAATTAAAGAGGCATGTCTTCAATTCAACTGAAATGTGCATTGAAGAAAAATTCAGTGAAGGATGAAAATTTTCGTAAGGGAAACAGTGTTTGGGATAGATTTGTTATATTTAAATGAGAAGATAAAAAGTGTCCTTTATTTTTAATCAAGTTTGGTATTTTTTCTATTGAAAATGCAAAATTGAGAATGTTTAATATAACTTTCTTGGACAAAATTCATGTCAACAAAAATAGTGGTATAAAAAAATGCCAAAATTATAACTGGAAGAAGTGTAAACCACCCAACTGAAAAAAATGAGGAAGACATTTATACAGACAGAGCAGGAAATACTTTTTAGATGTATAATCAACAGCCATCAGCGTTTATAAGAAATTGGAAACGCACATGCACTGTTGATTGGGGGAAATCACGATGATCTTACTTTCACTATGTTCGCGATTAAATTTTTTTCGGAAA